GGCTTGGCCTCCTTGCAGCACCAGGAGGAAACAAATCCTGAGCCTGGGGGTCAGCGGTGGGAGTTGTTCGTTTGAATGATCTGTTTAAATTCAATCCATACGTTGTGGGAGGCAATTAATGAATCTAGAAACCATTCCAAGAAGCGCAAAGGAAGAAAACACCCGAAGTCTCGAGGTGGCCGATTAAACACCCCATGGTGAGTCACGTGTAACCGAATAAGAAGGGAAAGCGGGTCTACAGGATGTGACTGAATGTGACCAAGAACGTTACTGTCACGGAGTGTGGGGGAGTCCAGGCCCTGCACCCCTCTTCCTGGGATCCACTGAGACTCTCAGCCAGCCAGTAAAACAGAAGGTTTATTGGACAACAGGAACACAGTCCAAAACAGAGCTTGTGCGTACCCCCAGGACCCCTCAATCACGTCCTTCTGGGGGAGCAGGGAGCTTAGACCCCAGCCCTGGGGTTCCCTGTGTTCCTCCACCCAGCCCCAACCTGAAAACTAAACCCCCCCAGCAGGCTCCCTCCTGCAGCCTGTCTTCACATTCCTGGGCAGAGGTGTCACCTCCCCCTCCCCCTCCCGGCTCAGGTGACAGGCTCTCAGGTCTCCCATCCCCAGGGCACATTCCCAGGTCAACACTCCCCCCTCCCTGCTGCGTCCCATCTCTCCCCCCTTCCAGACCGAACGGAGCGGGGTCACTCTGACCAGTGACCTGGGGAAGTTCGGGGCCCCCTCTCCGGGACAGCGCGTCCGCTATCAGGTTGGCCCTTCCCTTCACGTGGACCACGTCCATGTCGTAATCCTGCAGGAGCAGGCTCCATCTCAGGAGCTTGGCGTTGGCTCCTTTCATCTGGTGCAGCCAGGTCAGGGGCGAGTGGTCGGTGTACACGGTGAAGTGCCGCCCGAAGAGATAGGGCTCTAGTTTCTTGAGGGCTCACACCATGGCCAGGCACTCCTTCTCGATGGCCGCGTAGTGTTGCTCCCGGGGTAGCAACTTCTTGCTCAGGTACACGATGGGGTGTCTCTCCCCCTTTTCATCCTCCTGCATTAACACCACCCCCAGTCCCGTGTTGGAGGTGTCGGTGAACACCACAAAGGGCTTGTCAAAGTCTGGGTTTGCCAGAACTGGGCCACTGCCCAGAGCCTCCTTCAGCGCCCGGAAAGCCTCCTGGCACTGCTCGGTCCAGACCACCTTGTCTGGCTTCCCCTTCTTGCATAGCTCAGTGATGGGGGTGGCTATGGCACTAAAGTGGGGCACAAATCTTCGGTAGTATCCTGCCATCCCAATAAAGGCTTGGACCTGCTTTTTGGTGCGGGGAGCGGGCCAGTCTCTGATCCCAGTCTCCACCTTGGCTGGTTCCGGCTTTAGGCGGCCGCTCCCCACCTGATGGCCCAGGTAAGACACTTCCGCCATCCCCACCTTGCACTTCTCCGCTTTTACAGTCAGCCCAGCCCCCTGGAGTCGGTCCAGCACTTGTCTAACCTGGGACACGTGGTCCTCCCAGGTCTGGCTAAAGACACAGATGTCATCAATATACGCCACGGCAAAACTCTCCATCCCCCTCAGGAGCTGGTCCACCAGGCGCTGGAAGGTGGCCGGCGCTCCCTTGAGGCCGAAAGGCAGGGTCAGGAACTCATAGAGCCCCAGAGGGGTGATAAAGGCCGATTTCAGCCGGGCCTCTGCATCCAGCGGCACTTGCCAGTAGCCCTTTGTAAGGTCCATGGTGGTGAGGTACCGAGCTCCTCCCAGCTTGCCTAGGAGCTCGTCAGGCCTGGGCATGGGGTAGGCATCCGATACAGTGATGGCACTGAGCTTCCGATAGTCCACACAGAACCGGACCGACCCGTCCTTTTTGGGGACCAGCACCACCGGCGAGGCCCAAGGGCTGGCAGATGGCTGGATCACCCCCAAAGCCAGCATGTCCCGGACCTCTCCCTGCCCCCACCCAGATATGGGGGCGGGGGGTGCAGCAATCCGGGCCCCCGCTGCTCCCTTGAGGGGGGGGGTCTGGCCCTGGCAGATGTGTGTGTGTGTGGGGGGGGGTCACACAGCGCAGAAATCGGCCCCTGGGGGGCTGGTGCATGAAAGGGGGCGGGGCCCCCCCAGCCTTCAGGAATTCAACCCTCCTGTTCCCCCCAGATATTGCCCTCCAGTGGAGGCTGTGTGGAGGGGGGGCTCATCCCTGGAAATCACCTGTGGGAAGTGGGAGACAAACCCCCCGTTAGGGAGTGGGGGGCACAGGGAGACCCCTGCGGAGGGGGGGGCAGAGCCCAGACTGACGGGAATCTGGGACATTTCTGGGAGCCAAAGCCCCCCCCGGCAGGATGGGCCGGGGCTGGGGGGGAACAGGACAGAGTGTGAGGCCCCTGGGCACAGACAGACACAGAGCTGGGCTGAGCAGCCTGATCCCGCCCCGCCTGTGGGCCCACATGTGTCCGTCCACCCCCCCCACAGACACACCCACCCACCCACCATACACACCCCCACACCCACACCATACAAACCCACCCACACACCCAAACACACTTGCACACACCCATAGACACCTCCACGACACACACACCCACGATACACACCCCACACCCCACACCCCCCCATAGACACACCCACCGACACACCCGCACACACACCCATACACACCCCTACGATTCACACCCACACCCCCACACAGCCCCTCACACCCATACACATCCGTGCACACACCATACAAACACCAACACCCCCACGATACACCCCCACAACCCCACACCCATACACACCCGCACATACACCCATACGATCCACACCATACACACCCACATCCCCCACCCACACACCCGCACACACACCATAAACACACCCATAGACACCCCCATGATCCACACCTTCACCCCCCCACACACATACACACCCATACACACACCCACAATACACACCCCACACACCCACACACACACCCATAGACACCCCCACGATACACACCCCCACCCCCACACAGACCCATAGACACATCCACTCACCCAGCCCCCCCCCCACATACATCCACAAACACTCCCAAACACCCACACACACAGCTGCACACACAGACACCCCAACCACACCCACACCCCCACCATACACACCCCACCCCCAGCTGTACACACCCACCCACACCCACACTCCCCATATAGACACACCCATACACACACCCATAAACACACACCCATATACACACACCCATACACCCCCCATACACACCCGCACCCACCCATAAACACCCAACCACCAATACACACACACACATACACATCCATACACCCACTCCCACCCCCAGTATACACCCCCCCACCCCCCCACCCCATACACCCACACCCCCATCCACACCCACACCACGGGGTGCAGGGGGCACGGCCCAGCTGCGGGTCCATAATCACAGGGTCCACGGAGGCCGCATGCGGGGCCTTTGCTCTCACTCTGCTCCCCCTGCACCCCTGGGCTGCACCGTATGACGCTTCCCGGGGTGCCGGGCTGGGAGGCCCCCGTGAGCCCCTGCCCTGCTGTGAGGAGCCTTGTCTGGCCTTACTGGGGGTCGGACCCCCCGTCCATGGGCAGCACAGCTCCCCCCCAAATGAACCAGTGGGGGGGGGTTCGTTTGCCCCACCCCCTCTGGGGTGCCTGGTTCCTGAGTCTCTGTGTGGGGCTGGATCTGCGGGAGAGGAAGTTCAGTGACGGGGGGGGCTGGGTGTGTCCCCCCCCAAAGCTCTGGGACAGAGACACAAACAAACAGCTGATCCCTGCTAATCCCCCATGCAAAGCAGGATCTGGGGGGAACAATGGAGCTCCTGTGGGGCCCCCTGGGAGCCTGGGCTGGGCCCCAGCCTGGGGAGGGAAGCGTCAGAGCCTCACGTCTGCGACCCCAGCCCTGGGATCCCCCCAAAATGGACTTCCCCCCCAAAATGGACCCAGCTGAGGGGTCCTGTTCTCTGCACCTGCAAGCTCTGTTTTAGACCATGTTCCTGTCGTCTAATAAACCTTCTGTTTTACTGGCTGGCTGAGAGTCCCGTCTGTGACGAAGTGGGACTGTTCTTAATGTTTCCTCTGAATAGTGTGGGGGTGCCTCAGTTTCCCCTAGGCAGTTCTTAAGTATCTAGGGGGTGGGGTAAGGGTGTATGATCATTGCAGAGCCCTAGAGGGCAGGTGTGTGCAGGGGTCTGGACACAGAGAATGGCCGACACCCTGTTTCCTGGCAACTGATGGCCTGGGCCCTTCCCCCCTGCAAGGTGAGAGCTGAAGGGTTGGAGAACAAAGGAATCAGGTGACCTCCTGGGCCGGGAAAGGGACAAAGCCCAGAGGAGGAGGGGCTGGAGGGGGTTTTCAGTTTGGGGCTGGCTGGGACATGGAGTGAAGTGCAGACGTGGTTGTCTGGCTCACTGCCCCCCAGAATGGACCCAGCTGAGGGGTCCCGTTCTCTGCACCTGCAAGCTCTGTTTCAGACCATGTTCCTGTCGTCTAATAAACCTTCTGTTTTACTGGCTGGCTGAGAGTCACGTCTGACTGCGAAGTTGGGGTGCAGGACCCTGTGGCTTCCCCAGGAGCCCCGCCTGAGCGGACTCGCTGGGGGAAGCACATGGAGAGGCAGAGGATGCTGAATGCTCCGAGGTCAGACCCAGGAAGGTGGAAGCTGTGTGTCCTGAAGACAGGCTGCTCACAGAAAGGCGACTACCCCAGAGTCCTGACTGGTTTCATGGGGAGCAGTTCCAGAGCATCGCCCAGGGACTCCGTGACAACTGGTGGCAGCGGTGGGATGTACTGCACCCCGTGGATGGCGCTTCCTGCAGTAAGTGACTGGGGAGCAGTAACACGAAGGGGGATTGCCAAGGACCAGGCCTGCTGAAGGCTCAGAAAGGAGCAGTTTCGGGGGGCGGTTAACCCCTGGGAGTGTGTGACCAGCGAGAAGGACTGTGCAGTAACAGGGTTCCCCTGGGGATTGCAGTGAGCAGTCTCAGGGGCGGAGGAGTCTGCAGCTCGACCCTGGCAAAGAGGGGGTGACCTCGAGAAGGGCTGGCACACTAGGGGTTCTCCCTGGAAACCGTGGGGAGCTGAGAACACACGGGCCTGTGAGTCCACAACAACTTGGGAAGAGCGGAGTGATGGCCTGTCACCTTCTCCTTAAGAAGGACATTGTCACCCTGTGCAAAAAGAGAGGGTTGAGCGTTGGAAAGTTCACCAAAGCAGAGTTAATCGTGCAGCTGGAGGAGGATGACCGCTCTAAGGAACAGATTCCTGACCCCAGCTGGGGCTATAGCAGGATCTGGGAGCAGCTGGAGCGTCAGGGGCTGGTTCCAGCCGGGCAGCAGGAGGCGCAAGGCCCGTCCCTGGCAGACAGGAGGCACCGGGCCGTTCTCTCTGTGCCCGGCTCCGGGGCAGCTGGGTGGTGCCGAGGTCGCCAGGCGGCTGGTTCCACCCGGAGCCAGGCCCCAGGAGCATCTGCCCCATCCCCAGGGAAGCAGCCGGCAGGGAAAAGGGCCCAGTGCGGGGGGCAGGCGTTTCTGAGGACAGACGCTGGCTTGGTGGGAGCTATCGCGGGGTGCGGGGTGCACCCAGGGTCCTGCCCCGTGGGGAGCAGCTGCCAGTGGGTTTGTCTCCTGCAGGGAGCGTCGGAGCCCGGGCGGCTGGGAGCCGGATGCTGGCGGGAGCTGAACCCCGCAGGAGCTTCCAGGGGCGGGTTCGGGACGTTGGGACTCTGGGAAACGCGTCCCCAGTTTGTTCTCCATGTTACCCATTGTCCCGTTAACTCCATGAGAACGTAAGAGCTGCCAGAGTGGGTCAGACCCAAGGTCCAACCAGCCCAGTGTCCTGTCTGCCAACAGTGGCCAGTGCTGGGTGCCCCAGAGGGAATGAACAGACCCGGGAATCGCCCAGTGATCATCCCCTGTCGCCCATTCCCAGCTCCTGGCAAACAGAGGCTAGGGACACCATCCCTGCCCATCTTAGCAAATAGCTATTGATGGACCGATCCTCCAGGAACTTATCGAGTTCTTTTTTGAACCCTGTTATAGTCCTGGCCTTCACAACATCCTCTGGCAGGGAGTTCCAGAGGTTGACGGTGCGTTGGGGGAAGAAAGACTTCCTTGTGTTTGTTCTAAACCTGCTGCCCGTTCCTGTCATTTCCCGATCCCTAGTTACGAGGAGTAAATAACAGGAGCCTCCAGCGGCTCCTTCTCCAGCTCTGGGCTCCGGCCAATAAACTCAGCCTGGTTGTCTCTGTAAGGCCTGGCCGTGCTGGGGCCGAGTGGGGCGCTGACTGGGGGGGGTAACTGCTCAGCTGGGGGGTCCGAGTCCGTGGGGGCAGCGGAGCTGGGAACTTGGCCAGTGGGCAGCGCCAGGGGCTGGGCACCCCCGGGTGGATCCTGGGCGATGGGGGCGCCAATCGCTGACCTGTGGAGGGCTGAGTGGGGGGCTTTGGGGCTCTGACCCCCAGTAAGGCCAGACAAGGCTCCTCAGAGCGGGGCAAGGGGTCGCGGGGGGCCTCCCAGCCCGGCACCCCGGGAAGCGTCACACGGCACAGCCCAGGGGTGCAGGGGGAGCAGCGTGGGAGCAAAGGCCCCGCACGCGAAGCCGCCAGGCCACGGGAGCCCCCGGCGCGATGCCGCCCCCAGCAGGGCCAAGGGGACCCGGAGGCGTCTGGCCCGGACCCTGGCCGTGCCGGGCACTCGCTGCTGCCCCCTGCTGGAGAAGTGAGTCCCAGCCCCCCGCAGGCTCAGCCGGACAGGGGCTGCCCCGGCAGGGAGCTCTCGGCCCCACTCCTGGGGAGCCGGGGGATGGCCCCGCTGGGCCAGGCCTGATTTGTGTCCCTGGGCTTGGACCCTCTGGGCTTTGCCCCTTCATGGCAGCAGGACCCAGGGGTGCTGGAGCCATATGCCCAGTGGGGGGCTGAGAGCCATTGAACCCTGCAAACCCTGCAAACCACATCCAGCCAAGGGGTGCGGCAGCCCCCCGAATTCCAGCACCCACAGCAGGACCCGTCTCGATCCAGTGCCGGGGGCAGTCTGTGCTGTGAGCCTGGACCCACAGGCAGGGCAGCCCCACAGGGCCCTTCCTGGGTGAGACTGTCCCCTCCGAGCTGCACCCACCCACTTCCCCTTCGGCTGCTAGGGAAGGGTGTGTGTGTGCGGTCGTGGGGGGGGGTGACTCTGCCTCTTCCTGGGGGTGTCTGTCCCCTGGGTCTCACGCTCCTTCACAGCCCCCCCACCCGCTCCCGTTCCTGCTGGTTACCCTCAGCCCCTCCCACCGGGTATTGCTCCACCGGCCGATTGCCCCATTTCCTGTGGGCTCTCCCAGAGCGATCGGCTCCGGCTCTCGGCAGACTCAGGCAGCGTCGGTCAGGCCTGGGTCACATGTTCAGGGTTTTTTGGGTGGCCTCCCAGCATGCACCAGGCTCTCCTTGGCATGACTCTGGCTCTCGATTCGCGCTCCCACAACTCCTGTCCCAGCAGGGTGGACACGGCCCAGGCTGGCGCTGGGCCCCGGGTACTGGCTGAGTGGGAGCTCCCAGGACACACGCTCCCGGCGCAGAACAGGGAAAACGGGCTCTGGCCGGTACCGAGCGGCCGGGCTGCCCCCAGCAGCGCACGGCAGAGGAATCACGGTCCTGGCGGGACCTGGGCACGGGGCCGTAACACACGTGGACGCCCAGACTCCCCCGGGTTCCGGCTTGGGGCCAATCACCGGCTGGTCGGCGAAGGGACGCACCGCAGAGCTCACACGCCCGGCGTCCAGGAAAGCCTCTGCCATGGAGCCCCGTGGGGACTTCCCCGCTGCGTCACGCTGGGGCCCACCCACGCTGCGTGCGGTGGGTCGGGAGCCGGCCACAGGGCGAGGGCCGCGGGCGGTGCTGAGCGGGGACTCACTGGCCTGGAGGGAGGTTGCTACAGGCGGGCGGGCGGCTCGGTCTGGGAACCAGGCTTATTCAATAGTTTATTAAGGACCGTGGGAGACGACGTGGGTGGGGGCACCCGACATTTGCTGGTGGTAGAAAGTCGGGGTCTGGGGCACTGCGGGGAGGCCGGGACCCTGACCCAGGAGGAGCTGGAGGACCCGGCAGACCGGAGCGACAGCCACGGCCTGGACGCCGACCTTGCAGGGCTCACCGGCACACGCTTCGGGGCTAAGAACAAGATTTCCTCTGCAGCTGGGGGCTCAGCGGGGCCGCGACAGAGCAGGAGAGAGCCCTGGGCGTGGGGGGGCAGTCGCAGGATAACGGAGAGTCCCCTGGGGATGCGGCTGTGAGCACGGCAGGCCTGGGATGGCTCAGGTCTGTCCTGCAGCGCGGCCGGATTAGTCCCACCGGCCGCACCCTGGTGAGCCTCGGCTGGGAGCCGGGCGGCCGCTCTGTCCCCCGGGTGGAGAAAGGGGAAGGCAGCCGGGAGCCAGTGCAGAGGTGCTGCCAGGCTGGGCAGGGGCTGGAGGGTCTGTCCTAGGAGCGGGGCCTGGCAGCTGGGCTGGTTAGGCGGCGGGGGCGGGGGCTGAGCGCTCGCAGTAACTGCAATGGGGGTGTAACTCCCCAGGCTGTGGCGGGGGGGGAGAGAGTTCAGCCCAAGGACCCCGGTCCCACAGACCAGGCCGGACACTGCAGGGTTTCTAGTGTTACCAGAGAGCTGGACAAACTGACGGGTGGGGCTTGTGATGGGGCTGGGCCAGGCCAAGGGCAGGGGCTGGGCTCAGCAGCTCCGGGGTCATGACTGGTTTACCTCTCAGGTTGCTAATGCTCATGCTTCAGGGTCTCAGCCAGCTGCCGGCAGGGGTCAGGCAGGGATCTCTCCCCCTCATCCCCGTGTATTCTGGGAGGTTTTTATCTCCTTCCTGCAAAGCATGGGGGGCGGCCAGGCCTGGGGCTGGGCTCTGCGGGGCTCCGAGCGTCTCTCTCTCTCTCTCTCTCTGGCAGGTGCTGGGCTGTCTGGTTCTTGCTCACACACCCACTCTCCAGCTGGTCGCCACGTCTGGGCTCAGGGAGCTTTTTCCCCCCGCTCAGACTGGCAGGGCCCCTGGGGGACTCCCCTCCCTCTGCAGCGTGGGGCGGGTCACTGGCCGGGGTTCTCTGGGTCTCTCTCTATCTCCCGCCCTGCTGCACCTGGACCCCCGGTCCCGTGGCACAAAATGGGCTGGGCCCCTGGGGGCAGTGACACTTTGACTTCGGGCACTGGATGCAGCAGGCGGGTGCTGCGGGGGGGCTGGGGGCTGGTGGGACGCAGGAGCTCAGATTGACAGACTGGTCCCATCCGGCCTGGCTCACTGACAGCCGAGCCCCTGGCTCACCCCCCTGCCCATGGCTGTAATGGGCCCCTGTCATGGAGTCCCTGGGCGATGCTCTGGAACTGCTCCCCATGAAGCCAGGCAGGACTCTGGGGGAGTCTCCTCTCGGGGAGCAGCCTGTCTGCAGGACACACAGCTCACCCGGCTTCCACCTTCCTGGGTCTGACCCCAGAGCCTCCAGCCTCCTCTGCCCCTCCAGGCACTTCCCACAGCAAGTCCACCCAGGCAGGGTGTCACGGAGTGTGGGGGAGTCCAGGCCCTGCACCCCTCTTCCTGGGATCCACTGAGACTCTCAGCCAGCCAGTAAAACAGAAGGTTTATTGGACAACAGGAACACAGTCCACAACAGAGCTTGTGGGTACAACCCGGACCCCTCAATCACGTCCTTCTGGGGGAGCAGGGAGCTTAGACCCCAGCCCTGGGGTTCCCTGTGTTCCTCTCCCCAGCCTCCAAACTGCCAACCAAACTCACCCCGCAGGTTCCCTGCTGCAGCCTCTGTTCACATTCCTGGGCAGAGGTGTTACCTCCCCCTCCCCCTCCTGGCCCAGGTCACAGGCTCTCAGGTCTCCCATCCCCAGGGCACATTCCCAGGTCAACACTCCCCCCTCCCTGCTGAGTCACATCGTCACACAGGGCCACTGGGGAAGCCAGAGGGTCCTGCCCCCCAACTCCGCAGTCAGACGGGACTCTCAGCCAGCCTGTAAAACAGAAGGTTTATTAGACGACAGGAACATGGTCTAACACAGAGCTTGTAGGTGCAGAGAAGAGGACCCCTCAGCTGGGTCCATTTTGGGGGGCAGTGAGCCAAACAACCCCATCTGCCCTTCACTCCATGTCCCCAGCCAGCTCCAAACGAAATTCCCTCCAGCCCCCCCTCCTCTGGGCTTTGTCCCTTTCCGGGCCAGGAGGTCACCGGATTCCTTTGTTCTCCAGCCCTTTAGCTCTCACCTTGCAGGGGGGAAGGGCCCAGGCCATCAGTTGCCAGGAAACAGGGTGTCGGCCATTCTCTGTGTCCAGACCCCTGCACACACCTGCCCTCTAGGGCTCTGCAGGATCCTACACCCTTATCCCACCCCCTAGATACTTAAGAACTGCCCAGGGGAAAGTGAGGCACCCCCCCACAATATTCGGAGGAAACATTAAGAACAGTCCCGCTTCGTCCCACAGCCTGCCCCACGGCTGGCTGCCTGGGGTCTGAGCCCATGGGGAGCCCCAGAAGACAATGGCCCCTCCCGTTGCCGGGGCGTTTGGCACCTAGCAACAAATGCCCAGGGATTTCCCGGCCCCCGGGAGGAGGCCGGGGGGGCAGGAGGGGCTGGGGGGTTGTTGAGTGGTGGCTGCAGGAGGCGGCTGGCCTGGGACTGTGGAGGGTTCAGGGGGCTCCAGGCTCCGGCCTGACCCAGGTGTCCTACCCAGGGGCGGGCTGTCGGGATGCCGGGCACTGTAGCTCCTCCAGGTTTTGCACCCGGCGTCCCGGCCACGGGCTCCGCGCCCTGTCGCCCGGGGTCCCTGCTGCCCTGGGTCCCGGCCCCCTGCCGGCCCCTAGCTCTGGCCTGAGCCTCTGCAGCGTTACACCCGTCTGCGTCCCCCCTCCCCGAGCCACGGCCCTGAGCGCCTGGCACTCACCCCTGGGCCCGCCCGGGCTGCAGGGGCAGGTTCTCGTACTCCGGGGGGGTCGCTCCCTCCGCCTGCAACATTAAGGAAACATGAAGAACAGTCCCACTTTGTCACAACAGCTACATGGGAAAGAGTGGGGTTCTGGGAGCCAGGACTCCTGGGTTCTCTCCCTGGCTCTGGGAGGGGAGTGGGGGCTGGTGGGTTAGAGCAGCGGGGGCTGGGAGCCAGGACTCCTGGGTTCTCTCCCCGGCTCTGGGAGGGGAGTGGGGGCTGGTGGGTTAGAGCAGCGGGGGCTGGGAGCCAGGACTCCTGGGTTCGATCCGGGCAGGGCAGGGGAGTGG